GCGCACCCCCCAGGTGAGCTGAGGCTTGGTCCCAAGCCTGCCCCACCCCAGCTAGGCCACTAACCCAACCCTAGCCCCACTTCCTTTCTCACTATGGGGGGGGCGTGATCCGACCCCACCATGCCCCTTCACTCCCCCCTCCCCTTTCACCACAACAGACATACCAGCTGGACGCAGCTGTATCGGAATTTGGATCGGTATTGGCCGATATGCCTCCTTAAAAATCGGCTATTGGTATTGGCCCACAATCTCTATCAGTGCACCCGTAATAGGAAGATGTTTCGTTCTCAAATGTTTTGATGTGGAGAGTGCAGCTATTAAATAAGTCACCAAGGCTTATCTGTGACATTAAGGGTACGTTTTGCTTTCTAGCTGTCCTATTGACTTTAATGGGAACGTTCCATGTGCAGCAGAAAGCTGCATTGGGCCTGTTTCAATACTCTGTTTTTCACTTGCATATAATGATTACTTTTCTTTGTTTTGTTATTAATAACATATAATGCTGGAATTGAATTGGTATGACTTGAAGAATGGCCTTTGGGAAACTGACTGTTCACAATTTTCATCACAAATTGGGCATGTCATTGTTTGTACAGGCATCTTTCACAACCACAGTTGGTTGCTTTCTGTGCACTCCTGAAGGACTCCTAGAATGCCTTCTCATCAAATACTCTTTTTTAAAAATAGTATAGTATCAATATCTATTCATTTTGAATAGCGTGCAACTGTTTTCCATAGTTAGTTTGCATTACTGGGGTTCTACCTAGTGGAGTTTTTAGGTAAGACATAACCTTATAACAGGCTGTAGGGTTGCAGCCTGGATCAGTTAGCTAGCTGTTAACAAACTGTGCGCCTAAGGGGACTCAGCTGGCTCGAGCAGTTGGCCAGTACTGAGGGGAAGTTGACTGGCTGACTGGGAATAAAGGGACAGGGAGGAAGTATGGGGAGGAGGCCCTGGAGGGGTTTTTGATCTTGGAGAGAGAGAGAAACAGGATTCTTTCAAGGAAGAAGGAAGGCTACAGGGTGAGAACTAACCCATGCTGGTAGGGGCTCATTTTGGATTGTTTTATATTTTTCTGCTGGGCTCTGTGGTGCAGATCAACCCGGGGCTTTAAAACTTGTGTTGCTGGGTCCAGGCTAAGGATGTGTTTATTTTTGGCTGCTTATACCTTTGGCTGAGCCCTGTGGAGCAGAAAACCCAGGGCAATAAAACCCTGTGTTTAGGGGCCCAGAGAAGACTGGGTTGCTGGGACCAGATTAAAGGAATTGGGGGGGGAGGTTCAAGGGCTGATGTGAGCCTGACAGAGCCGGGCTAACCCAAACCCCACTACAAGCTTCTTTCACTCTTTTTTATAGCATACTGTTTTTTAGAAAATGTGACGGTGTGAGATTCTAGTGGGCAAAACATGTCATGAACTTCCAGTTTCATTTAGCAAATCAAAGTCTTTATAAGAGACACTGAATCCTATTAAACTGTTGTTTGTCTTAACAGAGGAGAAAGCAGAAGAATGGCTTTTCTTGACTGGAAACTATGGACCATGAAACTTCTTTGTGTTGCACTTGCTTTTGGTTTGGGTTGCCATCTGGTTACTGCTACATTGTCAAAGACGGATGCCAAGAGAAGTGCTTCAAAAGCACTGGAGGAAAAGGTAGGAGGACTAGTTACTTGAAGTAACTCGTACTTCAAGTGATTTAGCAAGTCTTGGCAGATACTGAAAGGATTTTCTACTTGCATTTCCTTAACACCTTAGTAAGAAATGGCCAACATCAATAACCATAAGCTTACAAGGAACAGCCTTAGCCCTTCCTACTTAAACTGATAGCTTCAAAGTTAAGTAATGTCCCATCCCCTCCCCCTGCCTTTAAAAAAAAACCAAACAAACAAACTTGAACATTTCAGGTGCCTTCTGCTGCTGCACCCATGGGTCAAATTAGTAGTGGGGGGGACTCTGGCTATGGGAGCTCTCTCCATGCTGCCATGGAGCAAAGTGGTGGCAGTGGCTGGGTTCTGACCCAGCCTGGGCCATTCTACCCCACCATGTGAAAAGGCTGCCAGCAGCTGTTCTATTGTACTGGTTGTTTTGCAATTAAACGAAAGGTAGTTCAATACCTGCGAAAGACTGGTGGTTTGTGCACACCTGTGAACAACACGATCAGATATGCTCAAGTTAATTCTTGCCCCTTGTGCATGTTTAAATTTTCACCATTGCCTCTGCTTAAAGAGCCTGGAACAGGCATGTATGCCATGAGTGAAATGGATTGGCAAGGGCAGCTAAGTGTTCAAGGTAAACATGTGGAAACTTGATCTTCAGTTTCTGTCCTCCTTAATGTGAATACTTGAGGTTTAAAAGTTCCACTCTTACTTTTGATCTTAAGTTATTGTAGCACTGGGTGTTGCACTGAATTTTGATTAAGGGGTGACGTGGATGGAATAAACTGATTGTTGAGGCTGTTGTGGCCTCAGATTCAAAACTTATTAAACACATAAGCAATGCTAAGACAAAAAATTCTAAACAGTTTTACAAAGGTATCCTTACGTGGGCCTTCCAAATGATGTGATGACCTGGCTGACCAGGTGTTTTTCATAGTATGGGGGTGGGGTGTGTGCAATCACAGCAACTAGGTGTCGTTTTGCCTTTTTGCTTCTCAAGTGTTAAGCTACTGCTTTAGCTATTTATACATCTTACTCCCCTCATCTCACTGAGAAACCTTCACATAGTGATGTCACAGGTTCTCACTAGTCAACCCCTCACAGCAGCTATCACCCTGGTATTTTGTTACCCACCATGGGCGACTGGTGCTGCCTTAGTTAGGTGGGGCACATCCCCCGAGGCCAGTCCCACCAACTGTGAGGGTCCCCCTGGGCAATCCCATGACAGCTGATCACTGTGATCTCTGCAGCCCCTTCTGGGAGTAAGTGCTGGCTGATTGCTGCAGCTGCTTCTGAGAGTGGCTGTGGCTGCGTCTGGGAGCAGCTGCAGTGATCGGCCAGCGCTTGCAGGGGGGTACCGGCACTTCCGCTAGCCCCACCCCCGCCCATTGCCTAAGCGGTGAGCGCGGCCAGTTGGGGGTGCATGTGTACCCCCTACGCACTGCCACTGTTACCCACGTTACCTTTCAACTTTCTTATTGCTAGGTAGGTCACTTCTTTATACAGGTCCTTTAAGAAGGTCAGCTAGGTAGGTCAACCCTTTCCCCTGCCCAAGCTGCTCTGTACTTGCCCCATGTCCAGCTAATGGCAATAGTTATGTCAAGACTTCAGAATGGTGTTGGTCATGTCAAGGCCTACATGGGGAGGCCTAGGTTTGGACCAGAACTCCATTGTCCTGGGAGCTACCTTTAGGCGTCTAGCTATCAAACAGTGCCTGTATTGCATTTGGATTTGTTAACTCAAGTTACCATGTGAACTGTATTGAACCACATGGTAGGTAAGCATATTGGCATACCAGCAGTTTAACCTCTTTTGGTAGGTGATGAGTATTTTAAGGAGTTATTTGGAAGAGTGTAATAAAGTACCTGTGTGCATGTGGAAAAGGTGCTCCTACCTGTGAGGAGTAGCGTAGAAGTGAGCACAAAGTTTTGGTTCACCAGTACATCAAGTGGATGAGACCCTGATATTGTAGGACCTATGAGAATCCCTGTGTGATTCTGTGATGTGAGAGCTGAAGATACCTGGGTGCTACAGGCCTGAGCGCCAGGCATGAAGAAGTGGTCTTTTCCATGTAAGAGAGAAGTAGAAGGGCTTTGTGGATAGAGAAGAGTTTAGAAATTTCTAGTCTTAACCCTGTTGAGCTTGAGCTAGTAGTGAATATTGGTGAAGAAATCTTAGAGATGGGCTTGGATTTTAGACTAGACAGAGGGGAGCCGGGGGGACAGGTAGGTCTATAATGGTCTTGGGGTATGAACGGCAGAAATACCTGCTGGTGGAAGGTAGAGGAGGAAATTAGAAGAGAGGGACTGCAGACAGTGATTGTGAACAGCACCTTCAATGGAGCTTAGAAATGACAGGGAAATAGAGCAAAGGAAAGTTGAAAAGATAAGTGGGCGAAGAGACTACATTGTGCTGGCATTGCAAGGGGAGAGAACTACATGAGTGAAGTTGGAATGGGGTTGGGCTTCAGGGGGATATGATGGCACTGCTAGGGCAAGTAAAGCAGTTGAGGGAGGAGAACAGGTAATGACTTCGGATCTGGGGCAAAGCAGCTTCGGACTTTTGTCTTGGATGTTATTATGAGAGGTTCCTAATGTTACCTAACCTCCCCTGTGCAGACTAGTGGGGGCAGGAGGCTCAAAGGTAACAAAAAAGGACCCTTGGAATTCAGGATATGGAATGCAGTGAAAATGGAGAAGCAGAATTATTTAAGTGGGGAGATGGCAGAACTGAAAGAGAAGAGTGCTGTAACTTGTAGTGGCTTTCTTTAAAGAAAGCAGGGGCTTTCTTTATACTGCAAAGCATAGGCTGGCCATTGCTGTTGTCTGGCAAGGTAGGTCTTGCCAAAGAGAGAGGCAAATGGGTGGAAAGGTTCAGAGATGAGAATTGACACTATGAAATGGAACAGAGGTGGGAGAGCAGCTGAGAAGTCATCCACATTGGACGCCCCAGGGGGTGGTGGGGGGAGCAGTAGCATGTTGAGTGAGGGTAAGGCTGAAAATGTTTTTGTGCAAAATGAAATCATTTAGTCTGTGTTACTATAACATCCAAAACCAATGTGGTTCCATACAGGAAAGACTGTCCCTAACCCAAAGAATTCACAATTCCTTTTGTCTTTAAAGCAAATGTTGTTCAGCTTCCAGTTGTTGTACTGGAAGAAGCTAACCACCACTGTGCAAGATGTCTGAACTTTGGTCAGAAAGGTGTGATAAGGCTAACCTAAAATAGTGGATGTTAGTGTAGACATGCATTTGAGTTGGTCACAGGCCTTGCTGCTTTAGAATTGATTGATTATTTTTAATTTTTTCCTTGCTTCCTATACCTCTGGCATAACTTAGCATATGGAGATCCCCCCTGCCCCACTTTAAAATCCTCCTGAAGCTTATCTACGAGGGGTGTGCAAAACAGGCCGTATTCTATTTGGATTCAGTCTGAATCGGGGACAGTTATTCGATTTGTTGATTCAGATCGCTGTCCCCAATTCAATTCGGTTGAATCCGAAACTGAAGATTCAATGCTGATTTGGAGAATCAGCAATTTGGCTGTAGACATAGCTTTAAATGTTTTTTTCTACGTACCTCTAGGTACCAGGCAGCTCATGAATGCTGGGGCACATGGAGTGTCCCACAGAAGTGTGGGGGGCTCCCCAGCGCGCTTGGCAGCAGACCTGGAAGTGGACCAGAAGCACTTATGGGCCATTTCCAGGTCCACCAGGGAATTCACTGGAGGCCCCCCACCCCGCTCAGTGACTGCTGGTTCTTGGGTCAGGTGGGGGGGCACCTGGGGTCAATTGCTGAGCCGGGGAGCGTGTGGGAGGCTCAGTGAAAGTGGAGCAGAAGTAGTTCCACTTCTGGGTTCACCGCTGAGCACATGGAGGGCCCACCTGCACTCCTGTAGGATGCTCCATCCACCCCAGCATCACAGTGTTCACAAGCCACCGGGACCTCAAGACGTAGCAAAAAACATTTAAAGCCGTGTCTATGTCCGAATCACTGATTCTCCCAATAGGAGATTCAGATTCAGCTGGATCGAACTGGGGACAGTGATCTGAATCAACGAATCGAATCACTGTCCCTGATTCAGGTCAAATCCAAATCAAATAGGGCCTGCTTCTCACACCCCTACTAATCATGTGTAGTGGCTTGGCTTTCCTCCTTTCTGGAGCCTGTTGGTGTGGGTGTATGTGCATTCAGTTTTTGGTTTTGTTTATAGGGGGAAGCCATACAACATAAGAGTTTAAGTGTTATTGATGTTGACAAAACATTTCCAGGTGCTTTC